TAATAATAATAATAATAATAATAATAATAATAATAATAATAATAATAATAATAATAATTATAATTATAATAATAAATAATTGTATTTTTCAAAAATCCATTATTTATATATACCATCAATGAATGACAATTTATCTATCAACTATACATAAGACTGCATAGTGCTCTTTATACAATACATGAGGTATGTGCTTAACATGTCTCTTGACAAACTAAGGTGCCCTCTTGTAGGGTATTTAAACAACAAGCAAAGGGCTGGAACTGATAGTCAGCTTAAAGTGGCAACTGAGCAGTACGACTCTAAGAGGCGGGGCAGCTAAAGAGTAAAGCAGGGACGGTGCTGTGGTAGGGGCACGGCTCGACTTCGACGATGGCGACGGCGACGGCGACGGCCTGTCGAACCCGTTGAAGCCCAACTGTGATTTGTGTAGCAATCATAAATTGACCAAAAGGGTGAGGTTTGCTGGTCTGCTTGTTGTAGTTTTTACTGTAGTTGCTTCGCTATTAACTTCGCTTTCAAAATGATTTACGAGCTTGAACATATTTTAGTGGATACTCTACATTTGCCAATGATTGGGTTGCTAAGACTTAAGTGTGGCTGTAGCTTTAATTGGTTTAGGATGAATAAAAGGTAAAAAAAAAAGATATTAAGCAAACATTTTCGATTAAATTAAATTAAATTAAATTTGTAAACAAAAATTTTATGAATATTTAAGTCAATTATTATAATAATAAATTAGCATTTATTAATATATAGTCATATTTTTATATAATTTATAAATCTTTTAATTTTATATATATTCATAATAATATAAATTACCTTATATGAGCTTATTACTTATTTCCCTTTTGACTTACCCTTTTATCTCATATTTGTATATTAAATAATCATTTTGAGTCTATATAAAATACATTAAAAAAATCTAAATAAAATACATTAAAATATATATTAGAAATCTTCTAAAGATTTCATCATATTAAATTTCTAGTTTCAAATAACTTTGTTAATCTCAGTTCTTTGCTTTATTTATATATGTATACACAATCAGATTAATTTATGAATTGTTTTTTTTTTTTTTCAAAATCTCCGTCGTAGTCGCATGTTGAAATCATGAAATATATTTCATCAGCCCAAAAGTCTAGCTTGTGATTTCCATAAATATTTGGGCTTATCAAAATAAAAACAATCTATGAAAATGTTAAATACATTTCATCAGCTAATAACTTCGTGTTTTTCTATATTAGTATTATATTTGAATAAATTGTATTTTAGTCTATAGTCCCACTGCTTCAATCTTAAATAAATGGTTAGAATGCTAAAAACAATTTTCTCATAGTTTCAGTCAGATGGGACAATTTTTATTCAAAGTTTGTTTTGTTTGACGCCACAATGATTCATTCAAACTAGTTCAGAACTAGTTCCAGACTAGATTTGCATTTTGTTTAAGCCAGCATTTAAAATTTGATGTTTGTTTTATAGCTGCAATAAGCTGAATTAAAAACCAACAAAGTAAACTTCACATATCCATGTATACATATGTATATACATACATATATATTTATTTATATTTGTATGTATGTGTGTATGTGTATATATGTTTATACAATAACAACAGCAAATCAGTTTCATTATTGTCAGCTGGTCATTTGTCTACCTCTGTGTCTGCTTTATATTCCGTTTAGTCAGTCTCTCCGTCCGTCCGTTCTGTCTCTCTCTCTTGCTTCTCTCTCGCTCTCACTCCCTGTAGATATGTATATGTATATATGTCGTGTGGTACGTGGTACTCGTATATCTTTAATGGCATATTCATCAGTCACTCTTGATAAAATCGGTGTACACACACACACACACATACATACTCATATATACACACATATACACGCACACAGTTGGACACTATCTTTGGCGTCTGGGGCTTGAGTCCGTCTGCGGACGGAGTAAGTCGCACAGTCATTTAGTTAAGTGGCAGTTGATTGGAACCAGTCGCAGTCATCATCATCATCATCATCAGCAATACCATCGTCATCATCAGCGCTGTCATCATGATGTTCATTATGATTATTACGTACCCAAAGCCTATTTGAATTTTGTTGCTCTTGTCTTTCCTCGTCTTGTTTTCCTCTACAGATTTATTTTGTATTTTTTTTTATACTCTTCTCCTTGAGAGGTGTTGTAAGTTTATCGATGAGTATGTACCATAGAAATACATGATAGCTGTAAATAAATGATTAATATATACGATGTATATAATCCCTATGTATGTATGCCCTCAATTTTATGCCCGAATTTTTTTGACATAAATATATTCAATTACATGTCTTTCCTAGTGCATTTTGAATAATATATATTGTCTTCCATATAATATATAGACCTGAGTCGTTTCCACATTATAGATATTCAGCTTTTTTCCCTAAATTCCGTCGCATGTTTAAAGATTTTCATATTTTTGAAAAGATATGCCCATGAAACCCTATCCAAACCTCTTATATTGAATAACTCGAAATCTCATTGAATCAATCGCAGTCAATCCACATCAATAGAAGTGCAATATGCTTTTAATTCAGTTAATTTCTGAGCTGTTGCCTATATCTAACTAGAATTTCTTTCTAACTATCCTAAATATCGGGAAACCCGTAGTAAATCGGGCAAGTAACCAACCTATCTCCCCCAAAAGCAATCAGCATCCATCTGTGAGTGTATTTCGTCTTCGTCTAGCCCATTTCGCTCGGCTCTTTCATGTTTTTAATATCATCTCAGTCTCATTTGGGTACCGCTCTGAGGTTTTGTTCGCTGCATCGACTGTGCCTCCAGTCTATGTGTTTTTCTTTTGAGTCTTGAATCGCTGTCATTAATGAGTTACAGATATTACACTTTTATGGCTGGCAGACACGCTTATCCACTCTCCATTCTAATCGTGTTTGACTCTGACTCCGACTCCGACTCCGACTCTCTGTCTTGCCCTATCAACCACTTGGCCGGCTCCTCCAGTTTTACTGGCTACTGTTTGGTTAATGATGCCTTCTGCCTCGTCTGTTATTTTCCAATATTTTTCGTCTTTGTCTGCCCCTTTGTCTCGTCAACTCTTTTCTTTTTTATATGTTTTTTTTTTAGCTCTACAATCGATTTTGTGGCTACTGTTTTCTTTTTTTCTTTCCCTGCTCCTCTCGCTATCTCAGTTTATCTCTTTCTCTTTCGCTATGTAGAGCTCATCCAATTTGAAATTTCTTGTTGTTGTTTTATTGTGTTCGCCTTGAGCCACACGCTTGTCTTTCTAATAGGCTTCGGCTCTACGTCTTGCTCCGCCCGAGCTTTCTGGCTGATTGATTTTCAAGCTTTGGTATCTGGTTACGAGCAGTCTTGAGCAGTGTTCTAGTCTCTGCCGTCAGCTTGTGGCCGATTCCTTTAAATTACTTTAATTGATGGCAGCTAGCCGCAGCAGACTCGGCCGCAGACTCCGCATCTCAGACAGAATCTTCGGCTCAATGGCTGCCTTTCAACACAATCTGTCGTGCATCAGCTGAATGCTGAATGCTGGATCGATTCATCCATCCAACAGCCAGATCGACTTTGCTCTCGGGTCAGTCAGATCGTTTAGTAAATCTTGTCCAACTTGTTGACGGGCTCTGAATCGAGTTCTGATGCGCATTTCTGACTTGTGATTTGTGATTTGCAGCGCATGATTTGTCACGATCAAAGAAAAATATTATTAGCCATGGAAATGCTTGGAGAATCTAGAAATGGCGAGACTTAGCCAGAGGCTGAAGTGGTGAATTGCATCTGTTGGCAGATTAATATACATAGACACAGAAATTCTATATAGAAATATATTATTTTTATTAGGTGGAGAAACTTTACACTTATTGTAATATTATAGAAACAAGGGAAATAAAATATTTCTATAAATTAATTTATGTAAAAATTAAAGTTCATTTAATAGTAATATTTTTATATTCAAACTACCCCATTTTCAAATACAATATAATTAATTAATATATACAATTTTAAAAATTTAGAGAGAGGAGCTATTTAGCAAAAAAAGACTGTAACTATTTACAAATATTAAAATATTTTTAAATGCCGTGTAGAATATTGAATTTTGAGAGATACAGAACTCATAATACTAATGTTTGCATTTTGCAAAGAATTAATAGACAACTGATATTTGCTTTCTTTTTCTTTGTAATTTTTTTAGTATATAGCTACATATGCAAATAATTTATTTATTTAACACTACATGAAACAAAAATAATGTAAGAACAAAATTCTGAGAAAAATGTCTTTTCTAATGAAATACATATGATGTTAAAATAGAATTTGTAATACTATTTTTGTTTTGCAAACAATTAATGGACATGCAGTACTCTTTTTCTGCAAGTATAAATAAAGTTACAATTGAACCTAAAAATAAACTGCCTTATTGATTGATCTTATCGTAATATATTTAATTTCAATTACATATTTCTTTAATATTTCGAATATATTCAATTCAATGGAACTGAAATGTTTTGCCATAAGATTGATAATTTTCTTTAAGAGAACATAAAAAAAAGTCCAGCTAAAATATGTAGTTTAGAATGAGAACGAAGAGAAGACAAGATGTAGAAAGAGAGAGAGAGAGAGCGACCTGGAATATACAGCTAAACAGCCAAGATAAACTCTGGAATGTACAAGAATCTTCCAATCTCGCTTGATCCAGAAGTCGATAGGGCAAGAGCAAAAGTTAATGACAGCCCTGAGGGCGATCGGGGTGACAAATGAAAGGGATAAATGGGAACTGGAACTTAAACTCAAACTTGAATAGCTACTGGAAGTGTGTAAGCGTGGAAGTGTGGAAGTTGAGTTGAGATAGAAACATGTGCGAACTGTACCTGAAGACCTGGAGTGAGCCGCTATTGGCAAGGACAAAGCCAAGGGGAAGCCGGTGCGCATATTGAAACCGGAAATAGTCGGACCAAGTGCCAAGGCAACCGACTGACGCACTGACACACATTCGCCAACAAAGGACGCTCAACAATAAAGGAGTCGAATTCATAAAAAACAAACACACAAAAATGAAAAAAAAGAAATGAAATAAAAAATAAAAATTGAAGCGAAAGCGAATAAAAAGCTCAAATGAAATGCTTTGTCCAGGGCCTAACTAACCACCCTTAATGGCAGAAGGACATGCAGGACATGCTCCAGGCTGCCTGGCAACAGGCATCACGCTGACGTTGGCTGACGGCTGCTGCACACACAGACACAGGCAAAGGCACACACAAGCACACACACACGCACACAAAGGATACCGCATAAAATAGAGATCATAATAATGCGAAAACTTGAAACCAAGGATACCTGCCAGTTACCAACCTCTCTCTCTCTCTCTCTCTTTCTCGCTCACACAGTCCAGCTCTGTGTTACTCTCCTTTAAGCACAAGAGGAATGCGCAGGGAGATTGCATCATAAATTCTAAGAATATGAAGCCAAAAGTGAATCATACGATGGAGCACAAAACGAAAGAGATGGCCAAAGGGAGAGGAAGATAGAGTGAGGGAGAGAGAGAGAGCGAGTGAGCGAGTGGAAAAGGAGAATAAATAAAAATTAACTTATTTGCATATTTCAGTGAGCGGGCGAAAGGATACGCTGGACACACACACACTCGCACACACATGCACACACACACACACACAGGGATATGGGCCTGGACGAATATGTAGCTGAAATTAAATAAAAACCAAACTCACTCGCGCCAGGATGTGCGCAAGGATGTGCGTGCAGCGGCTTAACCAAGCGTATGAACATTGCAAAATCCTCGCACGCAATTCTTTTTTTTCTTTTTTTATATATATTTTTTTTTTGCGCAGGATGAGTTCGTAGCGCAACGTAACCCTCTGCACTAAGCGCAACTCTAGCTGCGTTGACTGGGCTAGCATAGTGAAATGAATGCGCTACTCGAGGATAGGCAGAGCTATTTTCAGTTAAATTAAATTTTTAATTTAAAAAAAAAAAATATAAAACAGTGAAATTCAGCTGAAACTGTGATATAATGTATTTAATAAATGTATATTAATTTGAATATAATTTTGTAAAGAGTATTATTAATATGAATTATTATGCCATATTAAATGCCAAAATAAATACTATATTGTTAGGCGAAAAAAATTATTACTTTTACCCTATTCAATGTTTATAAAACATATATATCAAGTATTTATAGATTTAAAGCTTTTAAAATTTTGTATAGTTTCATGATGAATTCAAATCTATTTTGCAACAAATTTACATTTAATAATTATTAGTTATTATTTTCGGTGATTAAAAATGTTTTTATAATGATAAAGAATACAAAAAATAATCAAAAGTTAGATTCATACTTTTTTTTTATTTTTTGTATTTATTATTATATTTAATATAATAAATATATTTTATATGCACTAATATGCTCAACTATAGGGTACTCTACTCTTCGCTGGCTGTTGCTGCTGTACGCTGGGTGTTGAGTGTTGGCTGTTGCCTGTTGGGTGTTGTATGTTGTGTGCTGTGCGCTGTGTGTTGGGTGTGTGTGGTGTTGGTTGCCTGAGCTGAGCTGAGCAGAAGCAAATAAAAACTGTGAGTGTGGTGGCGTGATTAAGTGATGGACGTGTATGGACACATGCAGCGTTATATTTAGCATACAAAAACCCGAACAGGCTCTGCCTCTCAGCTGCACACACACACACACGTACACAGTTACATATGCAAATACGTGAGTGTGTGCGTGTGTGCACTGCTGGCGGGTCCTTGCGCTTTTAATCATAAATAACAAAGGACACATGGCGCGTAGCTTCTCGTATAGCATTTAGCTTGCAGAGCAACCAAAGGGCTGGGCTGGGCTGAGAGTCAGGCCAGAAGCGAGCTTCATGTTGACCAAGGAAATGCGCCGTGTATATATATGTCTGTTGATAATCCTCCAACCACTGACCATCCACCCAACCGCTGTCGCCTCCCCCACATTCATTTCCGCCTCATGGACGCCAAACATGCCACTCGCTGCGATTCATAGGCTGACCTGGCCCCAGGACATGACCAGGCAGAGGCAGCGGCAGCGGCAGAGGCAGAGGCAGAGGCAATTCGGTTTTGTCCTGCCAGAGCTAAACAACTGCGCAGTAGCTGCCTCTCAGCATTTAGCTTTGGCTCCGGCTGCGGCCCCAGCTCCATCCGCTGTGCACTGTGTGCGGAATTTTGATATTAATAGCTTTGGACAGTTTTATAAACGCCTTTCGGGGTTAACATGCTCAAGTGGTATTCATATTTTCCACTGACCGACCTGTCACTATTGTGTGTGTCAGCAAACTGCGAATATAAAACCAGCGTCCACTGAAGCGACCAGCACTTGGTTTAGATTTACTTGCCATGGACATGGCCGCAGCTGTGGCTTGAGTTGACTGCACAATCGATTGATCTGCGGGCTTTAAAAGTGATCTACGGCAATGAGATCGTTCTAATTGAGAGAGAAGGGGAGAGGCAGAGGAAGGGTGGAGGGAAGGAGAGGCAGAAGAAAAGAATGAGAGAAAGAGATATAGAGCGAGAGATATAGATCTCGAGAGAAAGAGAGAGACAGAGAAGCTTACATCAATGATCGATCAATAAAATTAATGATCCTTTCAAGCAGAAATTCTGTTTGATATGTCTATAAGTTCAGTCGATCTTTGTATACAAATATAAAGATATTTAAAGTACTAGAAATACCCTGTCTTGGCAATTCCTATTCATAGTGATGTTTTATAAAATCTAGTATGATTTCTTGAACAAACAAGTCCTAGAACTAGGATACTGCAGATATAACAAAGTTTTTTTCTAATTAATAGCTCAAAATAATGATAATTATCATATATGGAAAGTAAATAATATATTCAACCATTTATTTAATAGAAGAAAATAAATATTTGCTGCTGCTGAATTTTCTAACAGAATTAGGCTATAAATTTATT